GCCACCTTAGGTGTATGTGGCTGTCACCTTAGCCACTTGAGCCACAGGCGCCGAGCCGAGGTGGGAGGCTTATAAATGATAGAAATGTATTTCTCACAGTTCTGGAGGCTGGGAAGTGCAAGATCAAGGTGTTGGCAGATTTTGGTGTCTGGTTCAGAGATGGGCATGTTTTCTTGTTGTGTCCTCACATAGCAGAAGGGGCGAGGGACCTCTTGGGGTCTCTTTTGTATGGGCATTAATGAGCTAATCAGATCCCTAAAACCCTATTTCCTAACAGCCCCTTGACAGGATTTTAACATACCAATTTGTGGAGGACATAAATATTCAGTCCCTTGCCTCCCATCATTCCCTAGAGAGACAGAACCAGTAGAATAGATAGGGATATACAGAGGGAAATTTATCATGAAGGATTGGCTCACAAGATTATGGAGGCTAAGAAAGCCTACAACCTGCTGTCTGCCATCTGGAGAATTAACTAGAAAAGCCTGTGGTGTAGTTAGGTCTAGTCCAACCTCAGGGCCCAAGCTCCAGGGAAGCCAATGGTGTGAGTCCCAGTCCAGTTCTGCAGGCCCAAGAACCAGCAGCTCAGATGTCTGGGGGCAGGAGAGATGACTGTCCCAATGCCAACGGAAAACAGATTTGTCCGGCCTCTGCCTTTTTGTTCTATTCTGGCCCTCAAAGATTAGACAATGTTCACCCTAACCAGTAAGGCAGATCTTCTTTACTAAGTCTGCCAATATGAATGCTAACCTCTTTTCCTTCACACATACAGCCAGTAGTACCATTTAACAACACCTGGGCACCCCTTAGCCCAGTGCAGTTGACACATAACATTAATCATTATAGCTTGTGAGTGTCTTGGTCCCTTAATCCCAAAGTTAAGCCACTCCAATTGCTGACCTGAGAAGGAACCTCCTAATAGGCAAAAATACACACGTACATATGTGTGTGTGTGTGTATGGAAGCTTTCCTTTGGAAGATTTCGTGTACACAGACATGACTGAAGGAAGTTCTCGTTGACATACAAAACTGTGGGCAAGTTGACAGAAGATGAGCGATGATGTTAAAAGTCAAATTTCAGCAGAATACACCAACATCTACCTCAATACCTCAGAGATCATCAACTTGACATTGAAGGGCCAAACCAATAATCAGAGTGGGGATATTTACCATTGTTATTTGTGTGGGTCTAATTTAACTATGTGAACACATTTCCTCACATTCATTGATTTCACCACTGGCAGAACACTTAGTGATCACCTGTTTCAAGATTATAAATAAGGAAAATAGTTTTACATTGTAAATTGCCCGTGGACCTTATGAACACCCTGTGTATCATACATGTAAGAGAATATATATCATAGTCATCCATATTTTAAAAAATGAGCAGCATCACATAAACTTTCTACTATAACCTGGATGATATCAGGGCAGGAGGACCTTGAATTAGGAAGCTGAAAGAGGGTAATGAAGGCTGGCAGGTAGCCACAGGCCTAGGACAGAGCTGCCAGCCAGAAAATGAGGAAACTGCAGGGTGCAAGGTTCAACACGTCCATAGCAGGAGCAAGGCAGGGCAGCTGTGGCAGAAGACTGGGGATGTGACATCTGCAGGGGACAAAGGAGCATTTATTCTTTTCACTCAATCTGCCCAGCCTGGCAAGGGCTATGCCCACCTCAAAGGCGAGCATGCATTTGGAGCCTGAGGGAGAGAACAGTGTGCATTTGGGTCAGATGGATTACAAGAACATCTCTCCATGTTTTCCTCTCTCCTAAGGACTCTGCTTGTTAACTTTGGGTTTATAGGTAGACAGCCCCATACAACAGTATTAGTTAATGATTGACCAATGTTTTTTTCTGAGCTGCTGTCAGGCAGATTTTTTCCTAATTAATTTTATTTTTTTTTTTTTTTGAGACAGAGCCTCAAG